GGGCTATACATCAGGTCAACCAATGCCACCCCCCCCCCCAAAAAAAAAAAAAAAAAAAAAAACACCCCCCAAAAAAAAAAAAAAAAAAAAAAACATTGACCACCACCCAAACGACTACAATTTTGGGATGCACCTATGACATTTATTAGGAATAAAGACTTCTGAGTTCTGGTGCATTTGTGTGTGTGGGGTTCATTACAGCATATACCGCTATGCGGTATCCAGTTTTACCCATGACACTCACCAAACGTGCAATATATATCATCTCTGTACACATTTTTTTTCATATTTCTGTTATTATTTTTATTGTACATTGTTTATGTGTACATACATGCGCTCATTTTGTAATCCTGGGTGTTTATACTTATTTTATTTTAGTGTGCTTCTTTCTTCCCTTTCACATGTCTTGATCTAACGGTTGCAGCTGTAATACCTGTTATTTCCCTCAGGGATTAATAAAGTATTCTGATTTTGATTCTGATTTTTTAAATTAAATGTCCAACTGCTTATTCAGCATGTCTTATAGTTTTATTGATGTGTATGGACAAAGCTGTGCTTTTTTTAGTTTTTTCTGCAAAATACATTGTAATTGTTTTCCAGCATTATGACATTTAATGGAATTCGTTTGGAACTCAAATGACACAAAAAAAATTGCAAGATGACAAGTACAAGGATTTTATTTACATAAGATTAATTATACTAAACAACAAAGGCATTTTATTAAATAAAAACTAAACCATTCCCAAAGCTGATTGATGGTTGAGAGTTGTGTTAAATTTACTGAACACTTGACTCAAAGAAAAACAAAAATTGTATGCTCCAATAACTTCAGCTGAATGCAAATATAGTTACAACCATACAGGTAATTTGTTTATCATGTGAACCTTTTCATATAATCATGGTTCGACAGATTAAAAAATAAAGTATTAACACAATAACTGGGTGCATTTAGGCCTTGCATTGCTTATTGAGACTGAAGCTGACGGTCCTTTCTGACAAAGGAATAAACACACTCTGGTGTCAGCTCTCTTTTCTTCCCTTCTTTTGTTCTGATTTGKACTGTTGCATAACTTGCTTCCATTACTTCAGCATCCTGAAAAAAAGAGATATGTGTTTGTAGGTATATTTTTAGGACACAAAAAACACAATGTTTGTCAGAATTATATTTACCAAATTATTTGACTGATCCACACATGATTTATCATCTCCGATTTGACAGATACTCATTCCACCTTTTAAATAAATAAAATCATAATAAGGTTATCTATATGAAGGAATATATTGCCTTATTTTATGTTGTTGAAATAGTGTTTGGTTTATTGTCCACAGAATTGGAAAAAAAAAATAAAACTGGAATAGTTTTTTTCTGCATTCTCCTGACCAAAAATCGCCAAACTAAAGAGGAGACACAAATGAACCAATCAGCATCAAGGCTAAAACCATAAAAATGGCCTCTTGAAATATATCTCCAAAATGCAGTGCAATCATTGTAACTTTATTTGACAAAATTACAATACTTAATGTTTTCTGTTACAAAAACAAAAGCAAAACAAAACAAAA